GTGCCCACTCTACGAGCGTGTGTCGTGGGCGAGATGTGTTGAAACATACATTGTTTGTTTGTAAGCAATGTTTTCGTTACTCCGGATTGTCCCATTTTTTCTGATGTTGGGTGCTTTAGTATTGTTATAGTATAATTTATAGTTCCATCAGGAGTTTTACGGTACTTGCAACACAATCAGATTATACAAATGCCGAAGATAAAAAGTGTTACTAGATACCAACGTACGAAAAAGGGACAGATAAGGACAAGAGATGTTAGATAGGAAAGAAGAGGAAAATCACACCTGAGTACCCGGCAACCACCCATGTGCTGAGTTCGTTTACTGGCGTGTTTAGTTCTTTGCTTTCACTCGCAAAGAATGTGAGTTCGATTCCCACATGTGAAGGTTATGGTTACGAGTCTCCCCGCCTTTCTCCAAGAAAATGTTATTTTCCATGCAGCCCTGGACAACGATGCCCGTCCCTTCTCCATTATGATCTAAATTGGATAGATGGGGACGTAAAAGACTTTCGACGAAAACTAAGAAATGGTATTGTTGTGGAGTTATTATTTGCATTTTAGGAATAATCTATAATTTAAGAGGTTCGTCTTTTCAAGTTTCTTTTCGAGGGAACTGTCGTGGAAACTGCCAGATTTCACCCCAAACTGCGAGCTAAAAAAACAACGAATAGAATGTTTTATTTTTCATTTTTTAAAATAAGGACGAAGGGGACTCCTCATTCAAAGCTGCAATGTTTATATTTGGGCAAAAGTGCAAACATGCAAGTGTATTGACGAGCCAGTTGGGCTGAGAACGACCGAAAAAAGGGTGAAAAAAACCCCAACCCCCAAACAGCTGAATGTGCAATGTGAAGGCAGAGATGCATATTTCCACTCAACCAGTTGACATTGACACTGATGTTGTCGTGTCGTGATACAAACAAATAACTCGAGCACTTGCGAGTTTCGGTTGCTCACCTGGTGCACGTCAGGCTGTTACCCCCTCCTTCTCTCTCTCTCTCTCTCTCTCTCTCTCTCTCTCTCTCTCT